GGGTTACCATTTTTTTAACTCCAGGGAGAAAAACACTTTTTTTTCCCCACCACAACTCTTTTGTATCTGTCTTTTAGTGGAGACTACATTAATAGCAAGCAGACTCTATAATTAACAAAAAGGTACAAGCCTATTTAAATTAAGGGCGGAAATGCCTTCAAAGCATTTGTGTTCCAACAAGCCCTAGAATGAGCTTTTTTTCATTTCAGGGGAAAAAAAAGACACCTTAAAACTAATGATATTACTTCTCTTCCTCCATCCTAAACCTTCTTATTTACAGCATTTGGTTTGCAATGCTAAACGACTATAGCATATTGGGGAATATATTGAAAACTTTTGGAAGAATTCACTTGTGAATGATCCTAGCATTTATAACAAGCTGTATCTAGTAGCATGAAAGAAATGTCATATGGAGTTAGACAAAAAAGCAGCAACGTGTCAGACAAAAAAGCAGCAATGACCTAACTCTTTTGACTCTGTAATGCAAAAAGCAATTCATGTCCATAACGGAGATGACAGTACAAAAGACTGTTCTTGGACGAGCAAGTAAGTTCCTAATCCATTAGGACACACTGAATTCATACGTTATATGGCATTGAATCTATGTGTTATGTGGCACTAGATACAGGTATACAATACTGAATAGATTATCTCTAAACAACACAAAAAATTTCAAAACCTGTAGAAACGCAAGAGTTAATTGGAGGTCAGAGTAGAAAGACTTAGTGAAATATGGGTGCTTAAAAGGAAGGTTTGAAGAAAGTTCTTGACAAAACTGAACTGAGAAGAATACACCAAGCACAAAGAGCAGGAAAAAGGTTGGATTAAATGTAAAATGTTTATCAATTAATCAATTTTCAGCGACAAAATACCCAGCTTTCAATTGGCTTTAAGTCCAAAGTAAAAGAGTAATTTGAAGGAGAAGTATATGAAATGTAAAAATTACATAATGTCACAAATCAAATTATTTAAGTACATTTCTCAGGCACTGAAAATTTTGGAAACAAAAATCAATAGACTTTGGAGATAGGACATTCAGAAGCCAAAAGTGACAGTTCTTCAAACTTTTGAAATCTGAGAAAAGCATACAACACATCTCCGCAAGCATGTCACAGCTGGAAAATCTGGGAACCCCCAGTGCACAATAATGCAAGTAGAATCTAGGAAAATTCAGGCAAAGGTTTTATTAACTCTGACCATAGTGAGAGAACATTGGAACAGCACCTCCCCCTCACTCCCCTGTTCCCTGCCAGGCAATCATAGAGACCCAGCATACGTACATTTCATAAAAAAATAAAGCGGTGAAGAAAAACAAACATTTCAATGTTAGCAAAGCCTGGTATCTATCCCTGGAGAGACAGACTCTTTAAGGAGCTTGCTAACTGCCACTCTTCTAAGAAGGAATCAAACATTAAACACCTTGACAATAGAGAGGTGTAGGGCTCTTGGTGGAGCCTGTATGAGGAGCACACCCAGTATTACCTTAGTTCAGAAGTGGAAAGTTGGAAACAGCCACAGACTGCTAGCTTTTAGTTAAATACTCTTTTAGTTAGGATAAACGTCTTGGCTGGACCTCTCAAGTCTTAAATATTAATAAAAAATTTACCACCACATCACAAAACCACTAATACTGTTAACAGCATAAACCAAAAATTAACTTTTTCCTCTGTTTGACATCCACACAACGCACAGATTTAAATAAAGATATTAAATATTAAAACGTTATGCAACATTTCTGGATATCATAGTTAATATAAGAACCCAAATGCATGTAATCTAACCAAATGGCAAACTCTGGGAAAACACTATTAATGACAAAATATGTTAAAAGGAGTAATAGTGTCTGGACAAGAAATAAGTACAGACACATTGGTGACAAAGCTAAGTCACACCTTTGAGATCAAGTGTACTTAAAGTCCTATGGCCCTGCTAGAGGAGATAATAATAGAGCAAACTGCAAATGAAATATAGCACCTGAAGAGAGCTGAGTACTTTAAACTGTTGTACTTTGGTCCCTAAGGCTTCCGCACAGTTCAGTAATGCAGACAAACATTTCTATATAAAGAGGTTTTTTTTTTTCCTAAAGTCCAGAAAATTTGGAGGAGTTTTCCACAAACTGGAAATTTAGATATTCAAGACAGTCTATTGGTTATATACAGGGGGAAGACAGGTAGAAAACTCCTCAAGCTAAATGTCATTTCAATGTGGAAAAAAAAGAGGAGAAAAATGTGTCCTGAATCTTCAACACATAAAGACAAAATAAAATGTCCCAACAGAATAATAACAATGTGGTTTTTGTCAGTAGAAGATTAAGACTGAAGTTTTCATTCTGAAAGACCAGATGAACACACGGATTGCATTATTTTAGAAAGCAAATGAAAAAGCATGTTTGCGGATGTTACCGTTACCCACTGCTTCCATTAAATTGACATATTCTCCTGCTTAGTACTGATTGCTGACATTTTCATGAAGTTTGGATCAGTAGCGCAGATATGACACAAATACCATGTTGGATATTTGATTCACTATGAAGGTCTAGACAGCTGATGTTCATCTTGTTAGGATATTTTCTTTTCTACATTTCTTAATAAGAAGCTTTAATTTTCACATGCAAAATACAACCTGCACCATTCCATGTACTGGTTTTAATTAATATTACAATTCTACTTGAGCTGGAAACAAAATTCATTGAACCAAATTATAGACACTAAACTTTGTTTGC